GGAAGGAAGGAAGGAAGGAGGGAAGGAAGGAAGGAAAAGAAGAATAGAAATGGAATTATCACAGCATATATCAATGGACTCACAACACAAGCAAAACCCCTAGCTCTAGAGAAGGTATGCAAATGCGTACATAAGTACATACATGCAGATACACATATATTTATCAGAACCCAGTTTTTACTAGAATCTAGATGCATATTATTCTTTCTGAAGATCAGAATAATGATAGAGGAAGTCCAGAGGGTAGAGTAGCCAGAACAACTTGATTTACCTAAAAATCATTTATAACTAACTTCTCACTTGCCTTCCTCTGTAAAAGAAGCTAGATACCTAACTACTGGATTCTCCATCCTGTATCATCCACACGACACGCATCTGGCCAACACAGTGTAAGTAAAAGTCAAATAGTCAAAGCCTCAAGGATAAGATTTTGACCCTCAGGCTTCTTGAGGCTTAGAATACAGATGCGGAGCCTGGAGATGCAGCAGCTACCCTGTGACTAGAAAGGTGAAACCACGTGCTGAAATTGAAGGAGCTGAAAATAAGAGAAAGACCCTGGATTCCTGATGGAGCCCAGAGTTGTTGCAACCTCCACCTCCCAGGTACAAGTAATTACCCGAGTGTGCCCACTTCTGGATTCCTTGCTTATGTGAGGAAAGTACATCTTTATATCATTAAGAAATAAGTGAGGCTGGGTGCAGTGGCACACGCCTGTAATCCCAGCACTTTGGGAGGCCAAGGCAGGTGGATCACCTGAGGCCAGGAGTTCTCGACCAGCCTGACTAACATAGTGAAACCCCGTCTCTACTAAATAAAAAAAATTAGCCAGGCGTGGTGGCACATGCCTGTAATCTGAGCTACTCAGGAGGCTGAGACAGGAGAATCACTTGTACCTGGGAGGCGGAGGTTGCAGTGAGCCAAGATTGGGCCATTGCACTCCAGCCTGGGCAACAAGAGTGAAACTCCATCTCAAAAAAAAAAAAAAAAAAAAAAGAAAAGAAAAGAAATAAATGGTTTCTGTGATGTGTAGGTAAACACACTTCTAAATGATTCAAAGGAAATTCCAGTTCCAGCTTTACCACCATACGGGTCAGTCTGTGGTGGCTGCCCAATGCCAACAATCCATAAAAATTAGGAGAAATATCCCATTGGTAGGTGATTTTTCCCATCCATGGGGGAACCATCCACCAGTGAATATTATTAGAAATTAAACTGATGACAGGACACTTACCAGACCTCATTTGAAATGTCCTTGTTTCCCACAGAGTCTCTTAATTTTTTTTTTTTTTTTTTTTTTTGAGCTTCGTGATCCTGCCTCTCTTCCCCCTGCCCATCCCGGGAAGTGCCGAACTTCCCCAGGCTATTCCCCAGGCTTGATCAATCCTGCCTCTTACAGTATAATTTTGACGCATGATTATGCAAACAACAACTAAGTCTGACCAAAGACCACCTTCAGAAAGTAGCAAAGTTGGAAAAAAAGAGAAGGCAAGGTAAAAACTAATATCCTCCCACAAGTGCCAGGTACTGCATCTGGCCTTTGGTGCCACTGCAACCTTTGCCAGGTGCAGATGGTAAGGGGCTCACAGCTAATCGTCTGGACACAGCACATTCACCTATAATGATGACGCATCTTTGGCTGTGGCAAGAGACACATGAAAAATATGGAGTGTTATGGGGCTCAGACAGTAGAAAGTAACTCCTGCTCTGGGTACTTGGCGGGGCATTATGGTGGGAGTATTTGCATATTCTACCCACCTTTTCTATCCCAGCTCAAAAACTGCAGGAGGAAAGAGAGCAAAAAGGAAGCACCTGGGCAGAGAGAACAACATGAGCAGAAAAAGCACAGAGGCAGAGAAGAGTTGGGCATGTTCGCAGCTTTCACATGTTCACAAACATTGATTACATAGTCTGAAGGCAAATTGGAAGAGATTAGTAAAAAGTTAGTTCAGGTCAGATAATGAGGGTCTTGAATACCAGGCGAATGTGCTCTATTTTCTAGGCTATGTGAAGCCATGGATGGTGGAGAGAGGTGGATGGAGCTGAGCTTCGAGGCGATTGATCTGGCAACAGTGAAGAAAATAAAGGTGATTACCATAGTCTTGGAACGAGACAGAGACTGAAATGGGAAGGTACAGTTCCTAAGATCTGATGCCTAATTGGATGAGCTGAGCCAAGGAGAGAAAAAATACACTAATGATAGAGGGCGCTGGACGATATGCCTAGGAAGATAGTGAGGACTTTAATTGGAACAGGCATACCAGAAGGAGAGAAGATGATATATTCTACTTCTAATTAGCAAAAAAAATTATCAAGGCAGAAATGTCCAGCACCCTGTTGAAAATGGTGAACCAGAACTCTGAAGAAAAGGTGAGACTAAAATTGGAGACTTAAAAGTTCTCCCTATATAGAATGTAATGGAAATCATGACAATAAATGAATCTTCCCATGGAAAAAATACAGCGAGAGATGATGATAAACATCATAAATTCAGGGACGATTTATCTTAGAATCATGTGAATACTAACAACACAGAAACTTAAGAAGGGAGAGATGTTCTACATTGAAAAAAATGAATATATTATTATCTCTGAGATATGCAGTGAGTATAATTTTTAATACTTTTCAAACCAATTTTTATTACTTCTAGGAATATTTTAAAAATACAAATGCTATTTTTAAAGAAAATGACAAGGTTACTTAGCACAACATGCTAATGGAGACAAACTAGTAATGTTAATACCTTCTACGATTTTTCAAATTTAAAAAGAACATTTTAATCGCCTTGTTGCTGTGTTTAATATTCATTTGTTTATTCATCCATCATCATTCAGTAAATATTTATGGACGGCCTATTATGTGCTAGGCACTGTACTAGCTGGACAGGGCTTCACTGTGGACAGACCATCAATAATCCCTGCCCTGCCATTGTTCTCATTCTCCCTTCTCTTGCTAGAATACAGGGTTGTGCAGACTCTTTTTAGGTGGGTTGTACATCCAACCTCTTCAGCTCATGGAAGACACATACCATTACGACCTTCCAGGCTCCAGTTCACTTACTCAAGTTTCCCATTCCTTGGTTGCAGAATGAAATAATCATTCCCACATTTCAGGGTGAGGAATAGAAATGGCGTATACAGTGCAGCCTTCATTGTGTGCCTTAAAAGTTCATTGTGAACTGTATCAGTGTAAACAGCAATGGATGAGAGAACAGAAATTCTGGGTTCTAGGTTCTGATTCTGGCTAGACTTCAGTCTTATTATCTAAATAATGCAGATAGATAGATAGATAGATAGATAGATAGATAGATAGATAGATAGATGATAGATAGATAGATAATAGATAGAGGATTTGACTCAAGGCTGCCTAAATCCATATCTTCCTTTAATATTTCTCTTTTTTTTTTACTTTTAACTTCAGGGATGCATGCGTAGGTTTGTTGGGTAAACGCATGTCATGAGTATTTGTTGTACAGATAATTTTGTCACCCAAGTATTAAGCCTAGTACCCATTAATTATTTTTCCTGATCCTGATCTTGTCCCTCCTCCTACCCTCCACCTTCTGGTAGGCCCCAGTGTCTGTTTTTGTCCTCTATGTGTCCGTATGTTTTCATCATTTCGCTCCTACTTATAAGTGAGAACATGTGGTATTTGATTTTCTGTTCCTGTGTTAGTTTATGCTAAGGATAAGGGCCTCCAGCTCCATCCATGTTCCTGCAAAGGACATGATATTATTATTTTTTATGACTGCATAGTATTCCATGATGTGTATATACTACATTTTCTTTATCCAGTCTACCATTTATTGGCATATAGGTTGATTTCATGTCTTTGCTATTGTGAATAGTGCTGCAGTGAACATACATGTGCATGTATCTTTATGATACAACAATTTATAACCCTTTGGGTATGTGCCCAGTAATAGAATTGCTGGGTCAAACGGTAGTTCTGTTTTTAACTCTTTGAGGAATTGCCACACTGCTTTCAACAAGGGTTGAAATAATTTACGCTCCCACCAACAGTGTATAAAGTGTTCTATTACAGGCATGAGCCACCACTCCCGGCCAACTTGACTATAATGATTACCCCTATTTTGCAGGGAAAACAGAGGTGACTAGGAGTAGAGAAACTTTCCCCAAATCACATTGCCAGGCTGTAGTTCAGTTGGGATTTAAACTTTGGCAGTCTGGCTCCAGATTTACTTCTAGGATTTTGAGGCATGCTGGAATTTGCTTGTGGCTCCTTTCCTTCCCCTTGGCTTCAGAACACAATGGTCTGTTCTGGGAATATTCAAGGGTACCATTTGAAACCACCAGTGTATGATTCTTCCAACCCTATACGCTGCCCACTCAAGGTGTGGTCATCCACCTTGCCCAGAGTTGGGAGATGAAGGAACATGGTCTTTTCTAGCACATATTGTCCAGATGCTGAGTTTTTCCAAAGGATACTAAAGTCATTATCTCACCCTACTTTTGACGAAGGGAGTGGTTGAGGTGATTATGGATGAGGTGTTTCTCCTGCCATGCCACTCCAGCTGAGATGATTTATTGGATGTCTTCCTAATAGTTTGTAGAGCAAAAGAAGTGGAGGGGTTGGGGTTTGTGGGTGATAGGGGTAGAATAAATGGGGGTGGGGCTGGAAGGCAAGATTTGTATTCACACAGGGGACTGCCTTCAGGGTGCCTCAGAGTGGAGGCTATTCATCAAAACCACTATTGCCCCAGGGACATGAAGCCTAGGGATTTAGAGCATATTCTGTCAGTTTAATTACTGGTGAAACCTGAGGTTACAAAGGAGAAGCTGATCAAATAGCTGCTGACTTTCTTCTAGCTACAATGACCCCACATATAAGATTCTCCTAGGTTTATGGGCTCCTCACCTCACCTCTCCTTATTCCCCTTCCCCACTTTTTGCAGTTGGTAAAATTGCACGCTTCTTCCAGTTCAGTGCTCTTAACCCAAGGAGATGGTAGCTGCCATGGCAGAAATAAAAGCAGCACATAAATCCAGTTGAGAAAAAAGCCCATACACTCACAGAGGCCGTGCTCCTCATTTCTGCCAGGGTGGTGAGCAGGAGAGGAGCAGATATTCCTCCGGGCAGCATTTACTGAACCCATGTTTTGTCTCAGGATTGAATTGAAAAAGTCACATAGGGCTCCTAGCTTCCTAGAGTTTAGGGTATGAGAGGTCTTAAACAAGCACCATGAGTTAGAATATGAAATGCTGTTCATATGAAACAGATATGATAGGGGAAGTATAGGGTATATGGGATCCCAGAACAGGAAGGTACAGCTAATTTCACCCAGGAGGGTGACTTCATAGGAGGGTGACTTTCCCAGCCCCTAGAAAAATCACCCCCCTTTTTAGGATTTTGTCCTAGGAAAAGGTCATCTTATAATGAGACTTTTTCTGGTCACCAGAACTATTCCTAAATCAACAGAAACTATGGCCTTCAATTATAAGCAAGATAGCAAGATGATGTATCTCAGTTGAAATGCAGTGGCTTGAACTTATGCCAAAATACTAAGTTTGAATTTGTGAGTGCGATCAACTTTGAGTAACATAATATTTTAGAACATTTGTAGTTACCTGTCAATGGCAACTTAGCTCATAAATCTTAGCTGCTCTGGAAGAGCTCAGCATCTGAGAAGGATGCCTGCTCCTATCTGAGGAGGATGTACACTGCTTCATGTCACTGTACTCAGAGCTGATAGGAGCTGTCAGCGAACCTGTTGAACTTTTCCCAGCCAGGCAAGGTGGACCCATTACTCCTCTGAGGACCTGCCAGGTACCCTTCGCTCTGAGCAGTTGCATCCTGCTGGGAGCCAGAAGAGATGACATTCAAGCTTGCTGTTGCTTTATTCTGAACTAGTGAGTCTGTTCCCTTCTGTATAAAAGACACCTAGATAGAAGAAAAGGACCTTCGATTAGTTCTACTTTTGGAATCAGGAAATGGCTCTTTAACTGGAGTTAAAGAGTGGGAATCCAGGCAGAATTCCTGTGGGAAGTAAGGGTTAACTGAGATCTGAAGGACGGGTAACAGCCTGGTTGAAGTGCACAGGAGTCGTTCTAAGAAGAAACGTCTTAGATGAAGACTCAGCTCTCTGAAGCACAGAGACCACAAGACATATAAGGCATTCGACGGGGTTGGGGCAGGCGGAGGAGGTGAGGCTTGTAAGTCACGTAAGTCACGTTAAAGAATTTAAAGTTTATCCTGAGGTCAAGGGGAAGTCAGTGAAGGGTGTGAAGCAGAAAAGAGACATGTTTGGATTTGCTTTTTGAAGAAATATTATTCTGGCTACAGCATGAAGAAGGAATGGAAAATGGACAAAACCAGAGGAAAGAAGACCAGTTTGACAGCTGTGGCTATAGCCCGGGAAAAGAGGGCAGCAACTTGAGCTAGGGTGGGAGCAGGAGGATACAGAAAATTAGACACATTCAAGAGATTTGAGAAGCCAGAGTGATGACAATGGATTTAAAGTAGATGGTAAAGGGCCGGGCATGATGGCTCATGCCTGTCATCCCATCCCAGCACTTTGGGAGGCCAAGGTGGGTGGATCACCCGAGGTCATAAGTTCAAGACCAGCCTGGCCAACATGGTGAAACATCATCTCTACTAAACATACAAAATTAGCCAGGTATGGTGGCTCATGCCTGTAATCCCAGCTACTCGGGAGGCTGCAGCAGGAGAATCACTTCAACCTGGGAGGCGGAGGCTGCAGTGAGCTGAGATCACACCATTGCACTCCAGCCTGGGCAACATGAGTGAAACTCCATCTCAAAAAAAAAAAAAAAAAAAAAGGATATGGTAAAGGAGAGAAAATTAGGGATGACTCCTAGGTGCCTGGCTTGAGCACCTACTGGAGGGAAGGGGTCATGCATTGTGTGGCACAGACTGAATGTTTGTGTCCCCCAAATTCCTGGGTTGAAGCCCTAGTTCCAATTGTGATGGCATTAGGAGGTGGGAACTTAGATAAGGTCATGAAAGTGGAGCCCCTGTGATGGGATTAGTGCCCTTATAAGAAGAAGAGCAAACAGAGCTTGTTCTCTCCACCATGGGAGGATATAGCAAGAAGGTAGCTGTCTCCACACCAGAAAGAGGGTTCTCACCAGACGCTGAATCTA